AATTTTTATTATATAATATATTATGCTAAAATTATGCAAATATCTAGAACTATTCCAAAAATCTAGTTTAACACTTTATAAATAGACAAGTATTATTTTATCTATATTCGATCAACTCTTGAAGTGGTTCAAAAGAAAAAGTAGTTTAAATACACATATTTGATAGAGAACTTTGTCTTGTTCTTGATGAAATTCTATCAATGGGTAACATTTTTTTTGATGACCCATTTAACGGTTGCGAGTTAACGCTATGTTCTAATTCCTATTCCTATTCCTATTGTCAAAGAATCTAACATGGAACTGGTTTCTTGAAATGATTTCCCGCTTTTATTTTCTGTTTATTTATTTTTTAGTGTTTTCGGAATTCGGTTCTGGTGCTAAGCATATGCTAATGGCTGTTGCTCTTTGGTATTGCGGTCAAAGTTATTAACTAAAGTGGCATTTGGTTAGCTCTACCAGAACTGTAAATAAGCCAATGAGCATGTGAATGAATGTGTGTATTGAGCGAATGATAGAATGAATGATTGTTGCAGCTTGAATTTTCAGCTTGAGCTGCATAACGCAATTGTGCGGGGTTTTGACCAAAAACTTGGCCCAATTTGTTGCTCATTAGGCGTAAAACTTAATGCACAACAATCATGACCAAATAGACGAAGAAGAAGAAGCAAATGGAGATGATGAAGAAGAAGAGGAGAAGCAATACACGCATATTACTCATGCGTATAATTGAGCCATCATTCGTGTGACCTTTGGTATTTAATGTTTTATGCTTCTTTATTTTGGTTTTGTTTGGGGCTTGGTGCTCTGTCATAAATAGAGCATTAATTGGGGGCCATGTGCAATGGCGGTCAAATGCGGCGTATACTTAATTCTGTGCCGCAACAACAACAGCAACAACTAAACAAAAGTTGCACGCCCATAAATAAGTTACAAGATTTTTACATTTAGATGTTATACGAGTTTACTCTTTTTTTTTACGAGCCAAACTTTGCAATGCGTTTTGCGTGTGTGTGTGTGCGTGTGTCTGTAGAGTGTGTGTTAATGGGGTATATAGGTTGCAAATGCTTGTTTGGAGGCTAAATTAAATTGGTGAAGATTAGATATTTAACAGAAAATGGAAATGAACAAAGTATTTCAGATTTTGTGTCACGCTTCGCATGAGAATTTATACATATACATATATACATTCGAATTAGAATTTATGTCCACAATTTTCGGCAGTTAACAATGACGATGACCTTCTTTTAGAATCTGTTAAGATAGACTTAAATAGGAATGCGAATTGGATTACTTAAAATAGCCAAAAGTCGAACTTTGAGAGTTAGAGATGGAAGGACATAAGTTTGATATGCATTATTATGACTAGCTAAGACCTATGGATATTTAGTCAAAGAGTGTAGTAAATCTGTATAAAAGTCTTTATCTTTGAACAAATCTCAAATACTAAGGATCAAGACGAACCAAAATCAGTTTGATCAACATAAATGTATGTCTTAGACATATGTATATTACTTAAGATTGAAGGCATGTAACAGTTAAGAGTTTGAAAGATACAGTTCCTAAGGAGATATATTACGGATTTAGGATTACTTGTTATATCTAAAAATACAATTTTATAAGCAGAGTTTGATGGAAAACTGGGTTCCATGTAGATTTCGACGGAGAAAATATTGTATATTTTTCTAGAGCTTTGACAGGCATAGTTTAATAGGAACCGTAAATAGGTATTTGAGTTTAACATACTCTACATAACAGACTCAATCGAACTCTGATGTTGGGTTGGAATAACAGATGTAAAGTTAGCATTATATTATCTATATAGACATATATTGAAATACTTTTCTATTGTTATATCTTTATCTATATATCCCTTTATCTATAGCTACATTTACATATAAATCTTTATCTTTGCCATTATCGACATCTCTAGATTTACATCAACATAATCCCAGGGTCTAACACACTCTCAACAAAGCATCGCTTAGTCGCTTATACTCGTCCTATGGATTCAGATTTTCCCTTTTTTATCTCTTTCCCAGTTTGGCTTTTACTAATTTCAGCGCTCGCATAGAAAATGTGTGTGCGTTTGTTGTTCAAGACTTTTGCTGCTGCTGCATACTTTGCAGCGCACACTTTGCGGCTTTCAGGCCACGCCCCCTAGCCCCTAGTCCGACCGCCCGACCGTCCGACCGTCCGACCGGCTGCATACGCTCCTCCATTTTTAGCTGCAATAAATCATAATTTGCTACTTTTTCTAATGGATTATGGACAGCACTCGAGCATTTAGCTTGGCATATTGTTGCCGCCGGACATGCTACGAAGGAAGGAAAAGCGCACTCGAGCGCCGATTGAGCCATGAATTTCATGATGTGGCTGGCTAAGTGGATGAGGCAGAAGCACCAGATACTGATGAGAATGATGCGAACGATGATGATGATGATGCTAATGATGATGTACGCTGAGAGCTTTTTTTGAATATGTTTTAACTGCACATTTTTGTTTTTTGTTTTTTGCTCTTTACTTTTGTTTGTGGCAGCTACAAAATTAATCACATGGCATTTATGTTATCTCTG